TGGGCTGAACCCCACAGCCAGCAGGCCAGGCAGCTTCTCCTCTGCGCCAGCCCACGTGGTGCACCCTGGCTGAGCGCCATGGCCAGCTGGCCGGGCAGCTGCTTCTCTTCCCTCCAGCCCGGCTGCCCTGCGCTCAGCCCAGGGAGGCTGCGCCTAGCTCCAGCTGTGAAAGCCACAGTCAGCTGGCTGGGGTGTTTCAGCCCTCCCAGCCTCCCAGCTCCCACCATTCCTTGCAGCTACTCACCTGTGGTGTTGCTCAGTGCGTAGCTGCTCCTCAAATGAGGAAATCTAATGTAAATGTCCTGCGCAGGCGCGCAGTTCAGAGAGGGCTCAAGAGCTACTCTTAGAGCCCCTGAGATCTACCGGTAGCTCACGATCTACTGGTTGGTGACCACGGTCCTAGGCCATGGGGATGATAGCAGCTGTTGCTATTAGTGCTACCATTAGTGCTGAATTAGCACCTCCTCTCTATTCCAAGCATTCACTCTCCTCCAACTCCAGCTGTGCACTTTGGAGCATGCTCAGTGCAGGTGGAATGTTGTTAGAAGTGTGTTGCTACAATACTGTGTATATGCAAGTTACAAGAGTCAGAGTAGGGATGTTAGATATTGGTTAATTGAATAGTTGAGTAACCTCATGAATTCTTATCGCTTAGGAGACTATTCTATAGTCTGCGGGAGCGGGGCCAGCAGCCAGTGTGCTCCGGCCTCACTCCCAAGGAGCCCCCCCCGCCACTCCATGCTGCTGCCACTGTATCAGAGACAGCAGCATGGGGTGCCAGGTGGGAGCTGGTCTGCGAGGGGAGCCAGGTTAAAAACCAGCCCCCTTGTGGACCTGTGCTGTTGCCGTGGTGATCCTGCGGCCAGAAATGTGCCTTTTGCGGTCCGCATGAAAATCCAACAAAATTTGGGATTGACATTTTCCTCTGACTTAAGGATGTTAAATATCGACTATTTGATTAGTCAATAGGGCTTAGGGCTGTTGCTACACTTCAAAGGCCAAAACGCTGCATGGAGCCTGGGGTCAGCTGGGGACTAACCCACTGATACCGGGCTCCACGCGGCACTGCCACTTTGAAACACCATGAGAAGCCTGATGCTGGGCTCCCTGTGGCGTTTCAAAGTGGCAGCACCACACAGAGCCCGGGGTCAGCGGGGGATCCTGGGCTCTGCTGCTCTGAAATGCCATGAGGAGTCCCCAGCTGGCCCCAGGCTGCAGGCAGTGTTTTTAAAGCAGCAGCGCCACATGGAGCCCGGGGTCTGTCCCCCGGCTTCAAGTGGTGCTGCCGCTTTCAAGTACCCCTTCCATTTGCTGCCTCTTTCTGATAGAGGCAGCAAGTGGGGGAAGCAACTAGTTGACTAGTCCTTCACATCCCTGCTCTGACTTAGGGATGTAAAAGTGTAGTCAATTAACCAATAAGGGAAAGCTTGTAGGTTAATGCTATAGACTACACACATTTCCCCTCCTCTCCCACTGGTCAGCAGCCCAGCTTAGTTCCGGCTCACGCCAGGTCCGGGAGCTCAGACCACCCCCTAGACAGGGGCTGCTGCCTCCCTGTACCACTACCTCTTTATCAGTGCCAAATTTCCAAGTTCTTATTCCAAACACTGGAGACACACAGCTCTTAAAAATTACCCAGCCACCTATTTGAACTTGGAAGAGCTATTTCCACACCCCATCCCCTCATTCTTAGAGACCACTGTGCACTTTGTGCTATGGCATGCAAAGTCGGGAACAGTTCAGACTAAATGGTTTTAAGCAACTGAAAACCGAGGCTTATAAGTATAAAACATCCTAAACTAAAGGTGTAGCTACACTTCATCTATCAACACTACTTACAATAAAGGATTTAAAACACTAAAATAGAACTTATTAACTTAAGTTAGACCACATCAAACATCACTTGAAAAAATAGTTAGTCCCAATTGTACATTCTGGTAAGTACAAGGTCTGTTTTAAGCCACCAAGAAGGTTTTGTGGGAAGCACATCTGTGACACCTACACTACAGTTTTACTATTTGGCAGTCAAGAACCGTGACTGTGGAGAGAAACAAAAATCATGTACACCATAAAGCTCTGAAAGGGTAGCAAGGCAAAAATAAATGCATGCCACCCAAATTATCTTGTGAGGCTTTGTAATATTTTTCATTGTAGAAAAGTTCCCAGCACAAATTAAGGAACACATTTCAGGGAAAATCATATACGAAAATAAAGATCACAATATGCTCTTGATAAGCCTGTTTCCTGTGATTTTTTTAATTTGACTTTTAATTATTTAGATGCTCATGAAAGAAGGCAGAACACCGACCATCTCAAGACTGAAGTCCTTTAATTACAAATTAAACAATTACAGTCCAAAGACTGTTTCAACCTTACCTGGAGGGACACGTTAATACAGGTTGGACCTCCCTGGTCTGGCATCCTTGGACCTGACTGGTCCGTGATAAGGAATTTTTCCAGACCAGAGAAGGTAATTTCAGGCCCCCTGCTGCCACCCCCTCCAGCCCCCCAGGATTCCTGGTTCCCCCACATCACCCAGCTGAGCTGCGTGCCAGCTTCTGGCCTCTCCCGAGTTGAGCCCATGCACCAGTTCCTTGCCCCTCCCCCTTGCAGCCCAGAGGACCTTGCACTGGCTCCTGGTGCCGTCCCCTGCTCAGCCCAGCTGAGCCAGGAGCCGGCTCCCTGCCTTCCCACTCCTGCAGCTCAAATAAGCCGCACACTGGCTCCCAGTCCCCGCTTCACAGCCCAGCTGAGCCATGCACCAGCTCCTGGTCCTTGCAGCACAATGGGACTTTCTGCTCCTAGAACATCCATGGTCATGCCGGACCACAGATATTGCCAGACCATAGAATCCTGGATTTTAGAGATGCAAACTGTACCACATAGTTTCAGCAATTCTCCTTACCTTTCCAAACAAGCAAACAGCCCAGCTTTTCCTCCTACAGCACAAAGGACTTTAGGAGCACACCGTGGTCGTGTCATCAACACAGTTTGATGGGAAAGTCTGTGCTCAGGCATGAAGTGGTATTTCAGGGCTTCATTCAGTAGATGTTTACAAGTATGGTCATCACGAATAAGATGGTTTGCTTCATACAACCGAGTTAGAAACTTAACACTCAGCAGTGGCAACCGGACACAGTGAAGCAACTGTGCTAAGTACTTCTGTCGCTCCTGCACATCGTACTTGATCCAAGACTCCAGTGCATAAAAAACAGTCTCTTCTGTGACAACATTCAAACAGTCATTTGAAACAATTTCATCTAATTCAGCATGTGTGAGCTCAAAAAATTCTTCAGTCTGACAAACATCTTCAAAATTCTGACAAATATATTTGTTAGCAGCCAAGTAGAGGTCGTGGCAGCCATACGTCTCTGCGAAACGAGAAATCCCAATGCAGTTGCCAGGGTCTAGCTGGCTTTCGAGAAACGTGCAACATTCCTTTAGGACAAGTTTGATCTGAAGGAGATTTGCAGCTGGAAGAAGTGACTCTACAGTGTCCTGCGAGATGAATACAGTCCCTGTGTATGCATATTCCACTATGGCCTGCAGCGCAGCCTCATCAATGCACTGGAACTCTACCTCGGAGTTCTCCTTCTCTGAAAGATTTCCAGTGAACATGGCTTTGAAATATGGACTGATGCTAGCAAGTACCACCTTGTGTGCATGGATCTTGACATCACCGACTCTAAGGATAATGTCACATAGCTCATGGTGTTGGCGAAGGAGGTTCAAGCCCTGCAAAAGCTGTTCAGAGTGTAAGTGGGTTAAGTTGGCAAGCATGTAGGTTGGAGATGACTGGTCCATCTGTGACAAAGAAAATGTTAAATATGTTACTCAGAGTTCATTATCCATTTTACTTAGCACTCAAGCCATTAAAAAGACATTTCAAAAATCGTATTTATTTTTATAATTCACGCTATTATTTTAATTATTACACTATGCTCCAGTTGGACAACTAAAACAAACATTTTGCTTTCTGATTTCCCAACTAGCAAAGTGCTTTTTTATGCTCGTTAAAGTCAAAGATATATATATTTTTTAATTTTCTCCCTTACAGAAGCTGTATTTTGGGTCTAGCCTACTTGACAGCATGTTTGAAATGGGGGGTTGCATCAAATATACACAACCGCGACAGTTTAAGAGATCATATTCATTTTGGCCAGAGCACAGAAGTTCGTAAACTTCTACAGATCACTGTCCTTCTCTGAGTAGTTGATGGGACAGTTCGTAACTCTGATCTTCTACTGTACTGAGCAAACCCTGCGAAAAGGAAACAATTACTACACATGTCCCTGTGCCATACACTCTTCAAAATTAATATTTTGCTAGGCAGTTCAATATTTTCCTCCTTCCTTCACAAGAACACTGGGGAGTATTAATTATTTAATATTTAGAAAATGCTTTGAAGAAAAAAGTTCTTAAACATTACAAATTAAATTGCAATTTTAGAAAACAAAGGGAGTGCTTATTTTAGAATCTCTTATTTCAAAATCATTTTAAACAATTATAAGGAACTATTCTGCCTACAAAACTAAACTACTTTTCTTATTATGACAGACTGACAATATCTTGAACAAACCTTATGGAATTAAGAAACTTCACTGAATTAAACCTTATTGAATTAGGGTTTCTTTGAGGCATTGTATATTAACAATGCAGCTGTGTGTTATTGGGGCACTGTATCTACCTTTTCTAGAAACAGGTGGTGGTGTTCCTAATCTACTTCCTCTGTCATCAATGCCTTGAAGCTAACATGCTGGAGAGGCTCACATATACTAGTTCAGATTGGATTCTCCAGGGATTAATGACAAAGAAAGGGGTTTGAATAACTAGCCTAGGTTTAAACTGGCTCATGGGGTTTTCTTCCTGAACCAGCAAATGGACAGGACCCAGGATCTCCATCCTAAGGGTAGTGTTGGAAGGATTGTGTGCTTTTTTTAAGCTAAAATTGTGTTAAATCTATGGTCACAAGGAATCCCCTTGGGTGAAAGGCTGGAGGGCTGCTCCTGCCAGAATCGCTGTTAGGGTGATGTCCAGTGAGCTTATTAATATGTGTGTAGGTTCTTTCATTGTTTGCAAGATGGTTTCTTGGGGATGGTTTTTACCAGAAGAACAAACGCCGCTCACAAATGGAATGTAGCAAATATACCTGTGTTAACCGTCTCTGAAGAGGAAGTAAGCAGGTGTCCATCAGGAGCTTTTCTGTGCTGAGGATAACACAGGATAGGCAGGAAACCACACAGTCTGGCAAAACCCTGGTCAGAAGGCAAAGAGACACAGGTTTCCACCCAGAAAGGCAATGGCTAGGGAGCTGGAAGCCTGCGAGTGGGTGCACAGGCCTGACCATGGAGGGGAAATACAGCCCTGAACTGTGACGTCTATTATTATTTATTAAGGAAATATAATACCCCTAGCCTCCATCCTGAGTACAACCATTTGTATTTTTGTTACTGGTTCATAAACCACAGACATTTATTTGCTATTTTATTGCAGCCAGAATTATTACATTTGTTATTGGGGGGGAAAAAAGTGTCAAGTGGCTAAGAACTGGGGCAATGGAATTGCCTTTTGCAAATAACCATTAGAACTACCCCCTCATAGGTTTCCAGCACAATACAATAAACCATCAAAGTGCTCCTAGCTTTGTTCCAGTTAGGAATGTTAGCCAGTAGTCGACTACTTGACTTCTCAATTAAACTTATGCTTATCAGGCAGTCAACTGGTGTATCAACTACTCACTTCCCCCACCCCTTCCTGCCTCTATGAGAGGCGGTGGGGGGACAGGGGTCGGTGCTGGGGGGAGCTGGCTTAAAAACCATTTCTCACCCCCCCCCCCCCCCCCCCCCCCTGCTGCCTCTATCACTCTTGATCATGACCCCCAACAAAAATACATATGAACATGGTGCCCTTCAGATTTCTCAATTTTAAATAAATCAGCTTTTCATCTGTTAAACTGACTACAGAACTTTCTCATTTTGCTTCTTGTAAGCTGATACTAAAACGTAAGGACTTGGTCACTGGCAAGTTTCTCTTCATCACATTTACAACTCCCCAACTAACATCTAATTTGCAGAGCAAAGCACTAAGTATTGAATCTGGAGGGACATAATTATTAGATCATGTTTAAATATAGAACATAGCAGTTGCTACCAAGAGGTGAAGAATTACAACCAAAGTAAAAACAATTTTGTGTACAAAAAACACACGACTTTACATCCCTTTCCTATTAGAATCTTGTATCAGGTTTTTAAGGAAACCCTTCACAATTCTCTGAAAACAGGACTGAGACAAATGGTCTCTGAATTTTCAGCATTCACAAGCTTAGTGATGCAATCTAGCAGCTAAAACCCCTACTTCTTATTTTTATTTCCTTTAGTTAAATGTATTTGCTTACAAAGATTATTCTACTTTGCCTCACTTCCTAATTTTACTCTAGGAACACACACAATCCAATGAACAACATCCTGAAAAAGACAAATTGCTAAAGATCCAGAATCATTACTGTGATAGGGAATAAAGCTCAGAACCTGCAAAAACTTGTGCATGTAATTTTGTGTGTGCGAGCAGACCCAAAGAATTAAATGTGGCTATTTACACTTGTGTTTACCAACACAGCGATCCTCAAATACATGCACTGAACCTTCATTCGTTTGAAGGAAGAACAAGATACATTCAGTAGAGAGAGACATATACTAAGGGTGTAAAATCCCCTTTAAAATGTTAACTGGTTAATTTATATGTTTAACTGGTTAACCAACCCGTTGTATTGTGTGGTGGGCCTGACTGGACTAGAGCAGCCTCTGCTCCAGCCAGGCCCACTGCAGCAGGCCACGCCACTGCTCTGGCTCGGCTCATCATACCACTCGGTCCAGCTGGGCCTACCACACGGCACCATGGGGTACTTCTCCAGTTGGGCTGGGCAGGACCTGAAGTACTGCACCATGTTGCAGGCGGGGGCTGCTCTGGCCAGCGTGGGTGTCGGTTAATCAGTTACCCTGGTAAGCATGCCAGGAAGGCAATGTTTACGAATAACCAGCTAACCTTTTACATCCTTAGTGCCTATTCAGATAACTTGCACTTAACAAAAGTGTGGTACTATTTCTATAAAACATGTAGATGAACTGTCAAGTTCTAGTCCTTTCTAATAACAAACATTAACATGGAAGTACAATAAATATAAAGAGAACTGTTAGGAAAAAGTCAAAATTAACTTGGAAAAGTTATGTTACGTTCTCTTGACCTATAAATCATCCTCCTTTCACAAATAATATTATGTAATGACTAGGGATGTAAAATCCCATATAATTAACCCATTAAACCAACGGTGGGGAACCTAAGTCCTGGGGGCTGGATGCAGCCCCTGGCTTGCCTGGATCTGGCCCCCGAGGCTCAGGGCTTCCCCCCAGCATTGGGGAGTCCTTGCTGATGCTCCAGCTTTTCCCCCTTCCCTCCACCGTCCCACTATGGGGCTGAAGCACGCAAAATCTACTCGCCTGGGCTCCCTAGGCACTGGTGTGTGAAGTGCCTTCTTTTCAGTTTGGGGCCATTCTAGTGAGAGGTTTTTTATTGCTGGTTTTTTTTTTTTTTTTGGCTTCTTACCTGTCTGCAGCCCAAGTGATAGAAGAGGGAAGATACAACAAATTAACTACCCTTTCAGACAAATTTACATCAGAAGAAATTAATAGCAAATTCCAAATAGCAGGCACAACTTTGGAAAATATGCTAGAAGGACATAGGTGTGGCTTTTGGGTACCATTACAATATAAATAATAGCTGTATATTGACAATCTCTTCAAAACACGGATTCGTTGAGACCTAACAAGCCTGCTCCATTTCTAAATTCTATGAACACATCATAGGACACTAAAGATAAGGGAGGTAAAATGCCAGTTAATCAGTTAACTGGTTAACACCTTAAACAGGATCCTACAGTATGCTTACTGGTGATGCTTACCAGTTAACTCAGGGGTGGGGAAACTCTTTTAGATTGAGGGCCACTAACCCACAGAAAAATCAGTTGGGGGCTGCACACAAGTGAGAAGTTAAAAACCAAACAAGACCTCAATGACGTGGCCTCTGACTGAAAAGGAGAAAGACACTCTCCACATTTCTTTCACACACCAGAGCCTAGGCAGCCCAGCCTAGTAGATTTTGTGTGCTGCAGCCCCAGTGGGGACTGCCCAATGCTGAGGTGAGGGGCCCTAACACTCAGGGACCGGATCCAGGAAAGCCACGGGCCACATCCATCCCTGAGGTCGTAGGTTCCCTACCCGAGTTAACTGCTGACATCCCTACTAAATTCATGACTACTTTTGTCACCTCCACGCTGGATGTCCTCTACTTAGGGCTATTCCGAAAGTCAGCTCTGAAGTTTCAATCATAACAGAGCACACGCCTGCGAGGGGAAGGGCATGCGGTTAGCATTCTGCACTTGTTCTGCCAGCTCGACGTGGCTTCCTTTCCCGCACAGCACACGGTGCCGGGTTTGGCCCCACGGGTCAAGCTGGTTGGCCGTTTCCCCCTCACAAGACACCGACCGTGTCAGCATGTCCCCCGAGACGGAGACACCTGGGACCAAAGCGCCAGAGAGACCACAACGCCTTTCCCGCACAGCACACGGTGCCGGGTTTGGCCCCACGGGTCAAGCTGGTTGGCCGTTTCCCCCTCACAAGACACCGACCGTGTCAGCATGTCCCCCGAGACGGAGACACCTGGGACCAAAGCGCCAGAGAGACCACAACGCTTCCCAGCGGGCTCCGGCCTCGTCGCCCGCCCGGCCAGGCCCGGCTCTCAGGGCTCGGCCCAGCGCGGAGGGTCCCAGGCCGGCCCGGACACAGCCCGAGGAAGCCAAATCCTGCGCCAAGTCGCGGG